CCCTGTCTATAGTGATGTAACCCAATATCCAAAAAAATGAAGAAACACAGGGTCCAAGCAGATTTTAAACAGCTATATTAATGAATAAATCCAAACTTTACTATTGATTTGTTTACAGAGGAAGGGTTTTGAGGCTGTCATTACATGATTGTGAGTAGTTGTGTAACCTATTGTACAAGTCTTTCCATGACATGACATTAAGGTGCATTACATTCATTGATTGTCTTTGAATGATTTAAATGCAATCACTGTGCAAAAAATAAATCCCTGAATTAATCAATATTTGGACGTTTAAAGGGATAGTTCACCTATCGGTCATCATTTACTCACGCTTCACTCGTGACAAACACGATTGAGTTGGGGGGGGGGGGGGGTATGGGGGGGTTCTGTTGAACACAAGAGAAGTCATTTCAGGAGTTCACACTAAGATATTGCTTGATGCTATTAGCAGATTTGGCATGCTGTCCCAGGGCCAGGAGAAAACCCAGAGCTCGGAGATAATTGAGCCCAGGTCTCCCGACAGATCTTTTAGCATGTAATGGGGTCCAAGATCAGGTAGGTCTCAAGAGCTCCCTTAGTAAAGGAGGAAATGCACTGCATAAAACTGCTTTTCTTACTTAGACCTTTTGTCTTCTTTCTAATCCAAATATCCAAATTCTTAAATCAAGAAGAATTTGAGACAAGCAAAACATGCAAAACGGGGTAAGCAAAATAACCTTGTTTTTCCTTTTGACATAAGGTTATTTTACTTACCCCATCGACAGATTATTTTGCTTGTTTTAAGGAAAAACTCACTTAATTTTGTCATATCATTTCTGAAATCAAGACTATGTTTTGCTTGTTTGGAAAATTCTGATTTAAGAATGTTTAGATATTTGAATTTGAATCTAAGTAAATCATTTTTTGCAGTGTGGCGTGGAAGGGGGATTCTTCCAAAATGAAAAAAAGGCAGGAGGGTGAAATCGGTCTATTTAATGTAGGCTTGGATCAATCTGATTGAATTATTACTGATTACAGATGAGAGACCAGTCGCGATCAATTTCTATCACATGCTACTCTCGAAATTCAGCTGCGGTCACACTGGGCTTTTCCTCCCATAGACTTCTATTCATACACTTGCGAATGCATCAGACCGGAAACGCGGGGTCATGAATCAAGTTTCGCAGGTTTCTGCAGTGCAAACTTTAGGCTTGGTGAACTCTGACCTGCGAAATCGCATTACTTGACTGCGTGAGACCAACCGAGAATCAAAACATGAAATTCGAAATAGTTTTGAAACGAATATTTGCGCTTAACAAACAAAATTAATTATTTATAGGCTAATTGATGTCTGTGCGTAAAGGTTTCCCTATCCAAGAGTTAAAGTGAAAGTAGATTATCTCTCATTCTTGCACGGTAGATGCTCTGTTTAACTGTTTTCTGTTAAAAAAAAAACTTTTAACTGTTAACTGTTTGCTTGTGAAAATGCTCAGTTTTTCCACTTCCACTTACTTTACGTCCTGTAAATAGCAAATGCGCTTATGGCGCGACGCAGCTGGCTCTTAAAGGGAATGGGAGATGAGACTCTGATTGGTTTATTCTCAAAACACCACTATAACTCATTAAGAAAATAAACTCAACCCTTTTAGACTATGCACCACGGCGCAAAGCGGATTTTCCCGTCCTTAAATTAGCAAACATGGATTCTGACACGCCCTGAAAGCTTTTGCGCCCTGCGCTTTTCGTTTTGCGCATGGACCGTCAAAATAGAGCCCATGACCTCTCTGGACAGAAATTTAAAACATGGAGCAATCGCTTGCTTTTTAAAGCTGCGGTCACACTGGGCTTTTCCTCCCATAGACTTCCATTCATACGCACACGAATGCCTCAGACTGGAAACGCAGGGTCATGCGTTAAGTTTCGCAGGTTGCTGTGGTGCAAAGTTCAAGCTGGGTGAACTCTGACCTGCGAAATCGCATCACTAGACTGCGTGAGACCAATCAAAGATCAAATCACGACCTCTCTGGACAAAAATTTTAAACATGGAGCAACCGCTCGCTTTTTTAAATGTCTATTAATCTTGCTTAATCCTGCCCCTTTTTGCAGCGTTGTACAACAGAATTTCGCACAAACAAACTCTAGAGTAACCGCAGCTTTGGTTACTCCCGGCAGACACACAATGTCATAAGACGTTAATTTTAGGTTAGATTTGTCACCAGCATCTAAGGGCAATGTTATTTTGACGTCCAATAACGACATGAAATGACGTTGATGTTTTGTTGATTTTAGGTTGTGTTGGAAAGTCCAAACGTCAAGCCAACATCTTAAACTAACGTCACATTCATATTAAATACTGACATTTATTTGTCAGTTATGGCAACCAGAATCCAACATCTGATAGACGTCATAGTGGTAAAGTCCACACAACGTCAAGCTGTAACATCATTAGACTTTGATATTTTGTTGTTTTTTAGGTTGCGTTGGAAAGTAAACAAAATGCAATGTCTGTCCGATGTAATATACTGACGCCGACATGACATTGGGTTCTGACATCAATGCAATTTTTTTATATCCACACAAAAAGCAATGTCCAACGACGTTGGGGTACAAAATCAATCCGTCATGTTGACGTCCTGTGTATGCTGCGCTGGTTCAAAAATTCTTTCAAATATCTTCATTTGTGTTCAACAGGGAAAAAAAACCTATAAAGGCATGGAAGGAACCAATTGACGGTCAGTAAACTGAGAAAATTTTCATTTAAGGGTGAACTGTCCTTTTAAGTATAGTTATTTCTAACAGACGCATTGATTTAGTTCGCATTTTTCATCTCAACATTTTCAGAAGAATCCATCAGGGCAATGTATGCACATTCATTCTTCATTTTAAATTCTTTTCACATGGGAACATTATTTAATCCTGCTATTGTGTAATTTACCCAGCACAGGTTATTATTAAAGCATTGAACAATACCTTACATATTGTCTTCATATAATGTGGGAAGTACAATCCCTTTATGCTGTTGTTATTTTCCAGTAGTCTAAAATGGCTGTGCCATTGAATAAAATGGACCAAAGGACATCACTATGATGTAGTAAAAGCATTGTGCTGAACGTTTGCCCACATTTGCAGCTAATTGCTTTTTTCACATTTCCAAAATGGAGCTTATTTTAATCAAATGTCATTTGAAAGCATTCAGCGCATGCATGAAAGCAGAGTTATATGTGGTGAAGCTGACAATGGCACGCCATTAGATGGACTGAGGTAGAATAGTTTAAGGGCATGGAGACACATGATAAAATGATGGCATTAAAAGGAAAAAATTAAATCAAGCATTTTCACAATGTAGCAATCACCACACTGATGATGAGAAGAAGAAAAAAACTGCCTGGCAAAAAGAGATTCAATTCAGTCGGAGAAGAGATCTCGGAGAAGCACCAGTATATGAACGTGATTTGTTAAATAATTGCCACAAATCCCATGTGTGCATGAAATGTTGACAAATCCCATTCACAGGTCATCACAAACAAGGTGCTATCAATCTGAGGAGCACTTTAAGAGGATGGATTTATTATTATTTAAAAAAAATCCTTATCCATACAGACATCTTGTATCCATAAAAAAGACAAGTATTTTTAGTATTTTTGACATGAAACTAAAGGAACACTCAACTTTTTTGAAAATAGGCTCATTTAACAAATCCCCCAGAATTTTACCATTTTAAATCTGGTGGGAGCAATTTTAGCTGAGCCTAGCATAGATCTTTGAATCAGAGTAGACATTAAGCATCTCACTCAAAATGACCAAAAAGTTTTGATATTTTTCCTATTTAAAGCTTGATTCTTAGGTAGTTACCGTACATTGTGTACTAAAACCGAAGGGAAATAAATGCGGTTTATTCATAAAGTAATTTCAAGAGGATCACGTGATTATGATTGAACATGGCTGGTACCGTATGAGCTCTGTATATTGCACCAATCAGATGAATACTGACTCAGTATAAATAACCAATTTCCCCACTTCAGTCATCTTCGTCTTAAAGAATCCTCACTTCCACCCATACTCCTTCCCTTCTCCTGATAGGGTGGCACGGCAGCCCAGTGGTTAGCACTGTTGCCTCACAGCAAGAACGCCGCTGGTTTGACCTCTCACCGAGCCAGTTGGCATTTCTGTGTGTAGTTTGCATGTTCTTCCCATCCTTGTGTGAGTTTTCCCAGGGTTTCCCGGTTTCTTCCCACCGTCCAAAGACATACACCATAAGTAAATTGATTACTCCAAAGTAACATCTTAAGACAACTCTTAGCCAGATATATCCCAGCACGTTCATAAGCAGGAGACTTACCTGAGCTCAAACTTCCCACTCAACTTTCAAACGGGAGGAAGCTCCAAGATCAAGGATATCCTGAGCTCAGGGTTCTCGCCCGGAACAGCATGCCAAACACGCTTTATTATCAATCATCAGCTAACGCCCCATCCACACGGGGCTTCAGCGTCAACGCTTGACTGAAGGCGTGTCTGAAGTTGGGGCTAAAGCAATTGTCATAGAAGCGTCAGCCAATGAAATTCATACAGCAATAGGCCACTGTCTGAGCTGGTGTGTTTGCATACAGCGATCTGATTGGCTGGCGCTTCTGTCGGCGTTTGAAAAGTTAAGTGTGAACTCTTGAAAACAAAAGCTGATTTAGCTAGGAACTACACTCTTTCCAGTGTAACAATCAAGGAACATTGTTGTTGTACAATGGCTGCAGCAGGTGCAAGGAAATCAAGCATTAAATTAAAAAATTATCAAAACTTCATTTTTCATTTTTGACTCAGATGCTAATAGTCTAGTCCAAGGGTGGGTAATCTCGGTCCTGGAGGGCCGGTGTCCTGCACAGTTTAGCTCCAACCCTATTCAAACAGACCTCCCTATAGAGTTCAAGTGATCTTGAAGACACTGATTAGTTTGTTCAGGTGTATTTGACTAGTGTTGGAACAAAACTCTGCAGGGACACCGGCCCTCGAGAATCAAGTTTGCCCATCCCTGGTCTAGTCTGATTCAACTATTTATGCTAAGCTAACCTAAAAGGCTCTCACAAGATTCAAAAATAGTAAAAGTGAACTGTTTATCTCTAAGGTAGTTGTAAAACAAGCCTATTTTCAAATAAGTAGAGTGATCCTTTAGGGTGCTTTCACACTTGGGTCGATTGCCTGGTCCGAACCCAAGTTCGAATGTCCCCCCCTTGCCACCTTCTCGGCTGGTTTGTGTTCACATTGTCTTTTTTCCTTCTGAACCCCAGTGCGGTTGCGTCATCAAGCTGCTGTTGTGTGTACAGCTGTTGCTTGATTACATCCATGTAAGCAAAGGCGCCAAAATGGAAACATCACAGTCGTTTTGTTTTATTAAATGTTTTGGTTTTGCTAACTTACAGAGAGCCGCTTTCGTCTATCTGCTAAAAAATATCAAATACATTCAGAACATAATGTGATGTCTGCAGAAGACATTTTTGGAGGAGACAAGCAGACATTATCATTGTGTTTGCCCTGGTTCAGTCCCGCTAGTCACCAAGGTACAGTTCGTGAAACACAGACATACACACATGATTGAACGTTATAAAAACTAAAGTTTGTTTTAAAGTTACTTCATTTAATACTTGTTTTAATGTCACCTGCATTGTTTGGTACGATTGCATTCATATCAGAAGTTAACCGGACCAGAGTTTGCGCAAACAATAGCCCAGACCACCTCTTTCAGATGGACCATCAATCTGGAATGTTATTTTGACATCCAATGATGATGTAAAATGACGTTGATGTTTTGTTGATTTTAGGTTGTCTTGGAAAGTGACCAATATCCAATGTCGAGCCAACTTATTAAACCAACATCATGTTGACGTTAAATACTGACTTAGTCGGCAGGTATGGCAAACAAAATCAAACATCTAATAGATGTCATAGTGGTAACATTCACACAACTTCAAGCTGTAACATCATCAGATGTTGGACGTTGGCGTTGGCTTGATGTTGGGTTCTGACATCAACGCAATTTTCATTTCCAAAAACAAAATGTCTGTTTGTTTTACATTTGGCGGTTCACTTCCATTATTTGATACGATTGCAGTCATATAAGAAGTTAACCGGACCATAGTTTGCGCAAACAATACCCCAGATCACCTCTTTCAGGCGGACTCAGGTATGGTTCTCGGGTGCGCACCCGAGTTCAGAAGACATTGTTTACACTAGATAAACATACTGAACTCTGACGTCAAACGAACCTGGGTGCGGACCAAAAGTGCTAAAAGTGTGAAAGCACCTTTAAAGGCAGTTCTTCAGTGTACCCGCATCATCTCTAATGTATTAAAAGTTGAGACATCTTTCTCCATCGAACACTATGGTCATGTTTGAAAAAAATGTAATCTTCAGGCAACTTCCTTTTTAGGAAAAATTGTGTTTGCTTTGAAGCTTTGCCACCCCCAAAGTTCATACTTCTTCCCAAGAAAGAAACTGGAACAAAATCCAGAAAGCTATGCCAGGTATTGTTTTCCAGAATGTAAAATGACATTTTTGTACAGCTGAGCAGCATTGTGTTGCTACAGTACGGACCAATCACTGTCATTTCTCTGTGTCGCACTTCTGTGTTTTACCCTGTTTCACAAAGACAGGGTTTGAAATGTCATTTGTATTATATCAGTGAGCCACAGATGAGAAAGGAAGAAGAGAGGATGTGAGGGGCGAGGCGTTGGTGGGCTGCAGACAGCTCCCGGGAGCCATGGCAACAGCATTCACATAATAGCTGCTGCTCTGCATCAGGCGGAGATGCCACAGAGAGCAACAAGGAGGACGGAGAGAAAAGCAAGGATGATGGATCCGCAAATGAACCCCTGAACAAAGCTGAATCATCCTGAACTGATTCTGCTCCCAAAAATGCCTCTGGCAGACATTTCTGACCACATATGACTCAGCATCCAGCGCGTTCATTTTAGAAAGTGGTCAGTAGGTCTATTTTTGTGGGCTCATACTGCTGTGCTTCGACCCAAAAGGGGAAAAGCGGTGGGCAACCCATAGTGTTGATCCAGACTTTGGAGCCCCCGCAAACCTATGTCTGTGTGAGTCCGGCCCTCGCGAGGCATGGTAGCAATTGCAGAGGCCTGTGGCTCGACCGGCAGGTTGTTGTGATTGAGGTCCATGTTGGACAGGAGGTGCCCCAGAGAGTCCCAGCGTCTGGCTGAAGGTAGACGTATGAGGGAAGAGTAGCCACATTCTGGAAATACGGTCACAGGAGCCATCTTGCTGGTCTCAGATTCCTGGTGCTCCCTTGAGGAACTTGATGCAGGTTTGGTATAAGTTCCTCCTCTGGGGTCAGCCAGAACCTCACTGTAAGGTGGTGGTGGGTCCTCCATCAATACAGCCTCTTCATAGCAAGGAGGTTTTCCAAAGACATCTGTGTCTGCTGAGAAAAAAAAATGTTTATAAAGGAGTAACACTGCAAACATGCAAGACATGCAAAGTCCTTCACACTAATGCTTTATGACCCCAATATATTGCAGTCCTTTCTTTTACCAAGTCAGCCCAGACATCGTTAAACATAAGCAATCACAGGGCTTATCAGGTAAACAACGTATGCATGAAGTTATCAGAGAAAATAAATGAGGGCTTGATATATTTTATCAGGAGAGGGTGGAAGATTTGAGGCTTTTATCATTTCCTTCAAGGTCACCTCTCGTTCCTAGATGAAAGCCAGGATAGATTTTTTTCCTGTGGAGGAAGTGATAAACCAGCACATTGAGGTCGGAGATAAGAATGCATTTGGCTGTGACAAGGCAGTGTTTTCACCCCCTATCATCTGTGCTTTGGCTAGAATGGAAGATGAAAGACAAATGAGGAGGAACCTTTAAGTCCTAAAGCCTGGTTTATACTTCTGTGTCTAGTGACCGGCATAACCCACGGCGCAGGCAACACGCGTAGCTGTGCATTTATACTTCTGCGCGCTGTCTCTGTTGGTCTGAATTAACACTTCTGAAACGCTAGATGGCAGTGAGGTGTAAATGTTCCTCTGTGTCGAGTTTCTTCGGTGCAGTTTTGCTTTTCCTGAACACTTCCTGGATGTACAATTGACTCAAATTCGCTAATTTTGATGCAGGAACCGGCGGACGTGCAACAACTTTAACTATGTGGTAAACACAGAACAAAACTTTCCATCCAGAGCTCCTTAACGGGACTCCACACTTGTAAACAATCGCTCGCGCCATTCGCGCGGCTCTCTGTCCCGCCCAGACTCGTCAGCGCTACCAAGCTGACCAATCACAGAGCTAGCGCTACGCGTTGTTGCAACGTGTAGTTACATTTTTTGAGAGGTGCACGTCAGTGACACCGACGGCCACGGCGAACGGCTATGCGTCAGTGCCGTAGCAGAAGTATAAATCAGCCTTAAGAGCTAGCAGTGCATTAGGGTAGAACTTCAATTATAGATTCTTCCTAATTATCACGTGTTCAGATATAGGATTGCAGCAAATCAAGGCAGCGTATCCTGACCTGTAATGCAAACCCAATTTGAAGACAATTTGAGTGGTGCTAAACTAAGTTGCTGTTTGCGAGTTACTAAAACATACTGGGTGGTTGTAAGGAGTGTCCTTGGTGGCAAGAATGTTGCTTTCATGTACAGTAGGTTGGGCCAGGGGTGTCACAAATGGTGAAAAGGGGGACAGAGAGACCAGAGGCTCGGAGGCGCCCACAGCGGAGACTGGGGGGCCCAAAACCAACTTTCGCAAATTTGTGATAATTAGAGAGAGAACCCAGAGCAGAAACATGTACAGAAGGCCCAGAATCCCTAGCAACTGGGTCGGACATTCTTGCAGGCTTCTAGGTTGTTGTTCAATGGTGTTCACAGTGACACATATAAGGTTGATATTTACCATGCAACCTTTGTCCAGATTGGAAGTCACAGTGTTGTAAAAGTCAGAGCCTGTCAACAGATTTGTTCAATGACTACACAGAAAGTTTTATAGTGTATTATGACCAACGACAATCATTTTCAATTATCAGACTGTAATTCAGTCACCACCCTTTAAACACGTTTTCTTTTGTCATGCAGTGTCATGCATTATCATGAGATCTAAAGTCTGTTTGTGTATGATCATGAGTTGTTAAGAGTATAGCGACACATTATGTAATTTGTAAAATGATGCTTTGTATTTTTAATGTGTTCAAATTAATGTGATCTACATTACAGTTTATTCCATTAATTTCCCTTTGGCTTAGTCGCTGATTTATCAGGGGTCGTCATATGTTTTATGTAGTGGATGCCCTTCCAGCAGTACTGGGAAAGACCCATACCCTCTCTCATTCACACAAACTCATATATTACAGCCAATAAGACCAGTTCATCCAATTCGCCTATACCACATGCCTTTAGACCTTCTTGCTGTGATAATTACATTTCAGTAACTTAGTACTTTCTCCTTGTATCATTCAATTGCTATTCATTTATTCGTTTTCTTTTCATTTTAGTCTCTTTATTAATCTGGGGTCGCCACAGCGGAATGAACCACCAACTTATCCAGCATGTTTTTACGCAACGAATGCCCTTACAGCTGCAACCCATCTCTGGGAAATTCAATTCAATTGCTGTTACACATAATTTAATTCAATTGTTTATTTGTGTTGGTATTGTTTAGGTTTTATTTGAAAGCTGGTACAATTTCATGACCACAGATTCTTTCATGTAATGTTACACAGTTGTCTCTACCTCTAACCCCTCAATCCACAGTAATGTCTAACCAAACAATTAAATCTGTATCTAAGCTTAAACATATCCCATTTCATTAACGTGTTTTGCAATACAACATGAAATTAATCAGGCCATTGTACCTAAAACAAGCTTGAGTTAGCTGGAGCCACTTTTGGGGACCAAATAAAAAAAATAAATCAATAAATCATGAGAAATTCTTTACAATTACAGATCATATCAAAGACTCAATTTTCCCATGTCCACACGGCATCACAGGGAATAAGCTTGTTGTTGTAAAGTGATACAGAATTCCCCTTAAGGGTATAATTCTTTCTGACTCTTGCTCTTTTATGAGCTGACTTATTACTCAGGCCCTGTTTTAATGTGTGGTCATCCATCCTGTGGGTTTGGCACAGGTTTAAAGGGACATTCTTCACCCATGCCCAGGGATCCACCATCCCTGGCAGTCTGCCTGTCTGCCAAAGCACATGATTAGCCCAGCTCTAGCTGCTGCTAGCTCAGTGCTGTACTCGTCTGCCTACACAACACCCACACAAGTCTTACTGTTACCATGTCATACATGAAAGAATGTAGCCTGAGCTGTCAACATTGTGTGAGGTGTGCATGTTTACACTGGTACAGCTCTTAAGAGATGAACGGTCTTTGCAGCTTGATAAACAGTGTTGAATCACATCATGATCATTTTATTAATAACATGTACTGTAACAAAGGAGTTGCTTGTGTAGCAGAGTATGAAAATATCTATTTAAGATAATTATTCTGCTGAAATGTACTGTTCCTCAAGACAAATTTTGATTCTGTCTGGGCAACTTTACAAAGCCTTTAGGTTTGTAGATTGTAATGTGCTTTGATTCCTATACAATCAAGCACAGAGGAGTGCAAACTGTCTTGGAGAACTAAGCACCTTCCCTGATTAAGCAGATCTGAATCAGCTGGTCAAGGTCTTAAGATTCACTAGAAACTGGCTGTTTCTCAATTCCAAGAACGGACTTGCGTTCTTGTGGAGAGCAGTCTTGCCAGGTGTCCTCGGAAGAATGAACTCAGGAGACCGCGAGAACAGAGAACGCGTCCCGTGAGAAATGAGATGCTGCGTTCTTCCTGATGGTCACATGACCTTCACATGTTTTTAATAGAATATTATTTAAACATTACAGCCTTCATACAACGATTTACTGTTTTTCCCCTTTTCAAAATATATACTGTGCATAAAAACTTTATAAATATACTTTGCACAATATAAATAAAATAGATTTTTATGCAAATTTCGGCAAACAAACACCCTTAATGTGTTTATTCCTTTATTAAGATGTCCATGGTAATGTTAATTTTCACTGTTTCCTTTAGGGAAACTCCTGAGGTGAATAAGTTACATCTCTGAGCTTTAATAATAAACCTATATAAAATTCTTCTGGGAAATCATGGGATTTGATATGAGTGAGATCAGTGCTCAAGTCAGCATCGGTGCGTCCTCGATATGAAGAACACATCCGGGAAGTTTCACGCATCCTCTGTTCTTGCGGTCTTGAGTACTGGAACTGAACTTTGGCAGCTGATGATGACGTTGCACGAGAACAGGAGGACGCAAGAAGAACGCATATTAAGAAACAGCACTAGAGAACCTCCAGGAACAAGATTGAACACCCTTTACCTATCCTACACAGCATTAGCATAAGGGGTAAATGTACATAAATTAAAAAAAAAGGAATGCAAGGCATAGAGCACTAAGCCAGGACAGGTTGAAGGACTGGGCTGAGTTGCTGGATGTAGCTTAAAACCACTAAGACAGATAAGAGTAAGAAAGGTAAATATAGTAAAAAAAAAAAAACACTAAAACCAATATAAAAACCATATGATTTCATATATTCATAAGTACAAATGAAAAGAAACAGTAAAATAATTTTGAAAGCTGGTAAAGGACACATTCATGTCCCAATGAAATAGAATTTCCAACTAACCTGTAGTTGGAGAAGGACTCTTTCAAATATTTGTCGAAGGTCTGGAGCTTTTTTTTAGATTGCTAGATTGTAAAAAAAAAAAAGAAGTCTAACAACCAAAAACTCACATTCTGATTTTAAGGGATCTTTGAAGCATGGTCTTTTGAAAATAGACAGTTTGCTTCTGCAAATATAAATGTAAAAACAACTATGCCATCTTGCACTACAATTACAGTATTCCACATACCCCTGATTGCAGATTAAATTGCACTGGATGACTAAACTTGTTTAAACATCCTACCTTCAGGGACGGTCCAGTTTGCCTGAGGAAGAGTGTGTGTTACAGGCAGCTGAGGAGACAACATTTGAAGTGGTGGGCAGAACTGAGGGGGCTCTCTGGGAGGATATCCTCCACTGGTGCACTCCAGAGGCTCCATCTCCAATGCCCGCAGGCACTGCTCCCTCAGCCTCTCTTCGCGCCTGCGCTTTAGCTTACGCTGGGCAAAGCTGCAAAAGCAGCAAAGCATGACAATGAGAGCCCAGATCAGCCAGAAGCCGGCAAAGCATGCCAAAAATGTGTAGGTGCCCTGCGACATCACCATGATGACCACCTTGATAAAGTTTGGGCCCTCCAGGATCCAGTTGGAAGTTTAAAGTCTACAGGAATCCTGCTGATTTACGTTGAGTTCATGCACCAAGTCTCAGAGCAAATGAACAGACCATAGCTATCATATTTCTATGAATCTTGCCATATAAAACCATTAAGAGTCTCTCCAAAGCTAATTTTTTTTAAACTTTCCCACCAACCAGAGGTAATTAAAGTGACCTGATTGCACAAAATGTCCAATATATTGCAAAAGTGAAACTGAAGAGGCACTTCCCAAAGGTCCGCCAGGGACTCTTTCACAATAAGATGAATATCTGCAGATGCTCTTTTCCTGACAGCTGGTGCGATGAGGGAATGCTAACGTCTCACAGTGCCTAGGTCTCCTCCTGTGTTGTGATCCTCCGCTGAGCAGATCAGGGCTCTTTAGATCTCCAGAGGACATCAGCAGTCACGCTGCTCAACAAAGGGAAAGAACATAGAAGGGGGCAACCGTCATAAGTTATGAACTTGTTATATTTTCAAAACACAGAGCCTTAATATTTCTCACACAATGGCCAGTTTTATAATTAACCTCAGCTGTTCAAGCACAGCTCGCTCAATGACTTTAGGGGGTAAGTATCAGTTTCGTACATTGAGAGTGAGGGAGTACAGTTTTCCAGAAACATCGTAAGGAAACAGTGCCAACCGCTCAAGTTTTCACACACTAATGTATTTTAAGACTGCTTGAACATTAATGATGGTTTTCAACATTGCACCTCTTTTGGAAGTTAATCACAGCTTTCGAATACCGGCAAATAAATATGCCGTTTTATGACTAAGAGTAAGACAACTTACATAACCAGTTCTGCTGTACTGTGAACTGATCTAGTAAACACTTTATTTCCTACACACATTCACATCTCTCAAGCCTCAATCCAGATCTTGGTGACCTTCAGAAAGACGATTTATCTTTGTTCTGCATCATCTCTGGCATTTTCTTTTTGGCGTTCGTTCTGAATGTTGTCATCTAAACACTGCCTTTAAAACGTCTACAGTTATGTCATGCTTTGAGGACACAACCTATAGATTAACTGCAGGAACTAAAAGAGCTGTTTCACACTGGAGTAACATCCCTGCCAATATAAGTCAATACATAATATTTGATTCTGAAATGTTTTCTGCGATGGGGTTGCTTTTTTGATTTGTTCGGTTTTGTTTAACATACAAACCTAACTACCTTGATAGTGATTCAGAATAGAAGAATTGTCAGAGAACTCTATTAACCCTCCTGCTGATGTACAGGTCAAAAATGACCATTTTAACAGCAGAACAACAACCCTAAACCATGTTTTGTTAATCTTTTTTTCTTTAAAAAGACCCCAACATTACAAAAAATATATAGCTTTTCTGTATAACTTTTCATGAGAGCTATACAGATTTATGGTACAACATAGGGCTAAACAATATATTGGTTGAGCATTGACATCACAATGTGTGTATCTGCAAAAGTTATATCACAGGATTAGATTGTTTATTAAAGATTTAAAGATAAAGATATTATTAAACCTATTTTTTATAATAGCAATAATGACAATAATACATTTTATTGCTTAATTTCTCTACTTAAATACTGTTTGACACCCCAGAAAACCGTTAAGCACTGTTTATTTAACTTTTCTTTTGGCTCTGTTGTATTTACATGCTTCAAATTTATTATAGTTTATGCAGATTTATTGCATAAAAGACTTGATCATCCCAGTCCATCTAAATAGGTGAAATCTTTACAAAAAGAGCTGTTAAATCATCTGATAAAAATATATTGATATTACTATATATAGCGCAACAAAACAAAATATCGTAATGTCATATTTTCCATGCAGCCCTAGTACAACAGTCAGGGTTCATACACACATTTTTACTACTAATATTCCATGACTTTTCCAGAACTTTCAAGTACATTTTTATGACGTAATGTTTCATGCAATGTCTACATATACATGGTAAATAATAAGAAAAACAATGACGATCAAATTTATTCCAGCATATCATAGAACACGCAACAATCTATTTTGCTTAAATTTGTTTTTATATCTATGTAAAATTTATTTTGATCATGCTTACACTCCACTGATATGCACAATATATCGTTTCAGCATCGATATCGCAATTTGTGCATCCGCAATAATCACAACGCAGGATATGCTATGTTGGGATTATTGTTTAATATAGGGTTTAATCATAATGGAATAAAAGTTTATCATCTGTATGCATTTTTAAAGAGATAGTTCACCCAAAAATGACTTGCCATTTTCATTACACCCTTTACTTGTTTCAAACATTTCTGAGTTTTCTTTTTTTTATTGAACACAAACAGAATATAATTTAATAACTCCTATAGTATTGAAAGGAGTCAAGTGTGAGTAAAAAGTAAGTACATTTTAATCTTTGAGTGAACTGTCCCTTTAGGGCCTGTGATTGTGTTACATTTCCATATTTCACATTTTAAAACATCTGTTTTTTATAACTTTAATAAAGATTAAATAGTATACTATGAAGACTATGTAGTGTTGCTTATTCAATATCTGTACCTGAATACCTGAAAACTATAATTCACTTATATCTTTACTATATTTTATTTATCTATGCTTGCAATTTATTTATTAAATATTATTCGAGATTCACTCCTCTACAAAATCCCCAAAATCAATCCAAATAAACCTGTTAAATCACCTGGTGAAAAAGTATTCACATCGCAATATAAATCACAGAAATACAAAACACCATGATGTCAGATTTTTCCAATATTGCGCAGCTCTAATTCCAGTATACAGATATTTGTTAAACTAGTTTCCATGACTTTTCCAACCCTTTGTGAGATTTTCTGTTTTTCGAAAACTTTTCAGGCTTGGAAAATGCCATGTCAACATTCCATGACTTTTCCATGTTTTCCATGACCGTATGAACCCTGAACAGTTGTCCTAAAGGTCAATCAATAAAACAATGTTTTACACCATAACAGCAACTGGCACACACATGCCCACTACAAAACACACTGACCCCCAAACATACACAATAAGAATCCTCTGCTTTAGCTGTTGTGAATACTGTCTTGCTAAAGACTTATGCAGGTGCCTTTAGCATTAGACAATATACCCTACACTTCAGTGAAAAACTAATGCTCTGACTAAACATTGACCAAAGCTCCACACTGATGATAAGGAAAAACCTAGATATTTAATTTGTGATGAAGATGAGGTTGATTCTTTATGCAAAATAGATTTGAGGATTGAAATTAAATTGATCTGCTTTAGAGGTTTAGTGAAGGCGGGTCATTTTTGACCCAACGGTCAAACGGTGTATACAAAATTCTAAGACAACATGAGGGCTAAACACAAGCTCTATGAATGAGGAGAAGGATTTCATCACCTGTTACTTTACTGAGGAAAAAATGTGACTCTGCCTAACCTCAGTGATGCCCCCTATTAACAACACAATGTCATTGATGCAATGCATTGCATAATACTCTGTTTGATATGAAAACCACATTCTATTTCTGTATATTGAAATGTTTTTTTTTTTATCTTAAAAAATTTATTTTCAATAAATAATCAAGATAAAATACAACAGTTTTTATAAAGCAAAAGAGGAATGTGCTTTTTTTCTGTAATCAGCCTACAGAATTGTTTATTCCCAATGCTTGGAAACCAAACATCATCGCTGTAAATAAGTAAACAATATGATTCTAGTATAAATAATCGACGTTTATTGTAGCAGTGATGATGTGCAGTCTTGCAGGTGGGTGATGCTTGTGAAAAAATGTGCGCAATAGGCAGTGACAGACAAAAAACACACACACATTTTCTGTATATTACGAAGAGCATACACAACAACAACATTCAAGGGCATGAAAATAATTACTGTGCTTTTATTAAACGTATCCTATACTCTCATTATCACAATACCTATTACAGCTTACATCTAAACAGAAACACATACATATTCCTTTAGGCTCGTACTTACATGTCAAGCGTCTTCCAGTCACGATGAGTTCATTTTCAGACGCGTGACACCATTTCAATAGACGGGACGTGACTCCGTCCAAATAAAGTTGCAGTAGTTGTCAGTGGCACATGATGGTATAAGCAGACTCTAAATGAGTGTGTTCTTGAGTGTCTTGACTAATGTTTACCTGGATGAACAGAAAGCGTTTGGTGTTCCGCGTAATTCCTCGAGGGTCGTGATGCGCGCGATGGTTAATGGACACCTGTAATTGACGCGCGCGCGTCATGAAACACCCACACTGGCGCTCCGCGCGCGATGAGCTGCTGCTTCACGAGGACTCTGTGTATCAAATTGTGGATAACGGCTTTCCAAACAAACTGACATGATCGCTCCTCCTTTTTAACTGTTTGTAGAACAAAGCATTTGAAGTGGCACGGTTGTGTCAGAATACGCTTGTTGGTTGTGTTTATTTAGGTCAAGTTTATGATGCGGTTGTGAGTGTTTGATTAAGTGATGCCTATGAACTTTACATCAACTATCTTCTCGGGTTGTTTCAACTTCTCACTGTGACTTCTAAAGGTGCTCTCAAATATATGTACACATACTGTAAAATGGTGATTTACTTAAAAATGTAGGAAAATAACAATAAAGATATAACATTTTAAATAATACAGAACATGCTAAAATAAAGGAAGAATGGAACAGTATTGTACTATACTGTACATATGATGTTAAAAAACTGTTAAATTAATAAAATAACCAACCAGCTAACAATATGAAATTTACATAGTTAATCATATATTTAGAGTAAACACATACAAAAGACTGTGTACATCCTAAAAAAGATAAATAAATAAAAAAATTATATATATATATATATATATATATATATATATATATATATATATATATATATATATATATTGTTAGGTACGCCTTACTAGTACTGGGTTGGACCCCCTTTTCCCTCAGAACTGCCCTAATCCTTTGTGGCATAGATTCAACATGAGACTGGAAATATTCTTTAGAGATTTTAGTCCATATTGACATGATAGCATCAAGCAGCTGCTGCAGACCAAGATGTAAATCTCCCATTTCACCACATCCCAAAGGTGCACTATAGGATTAAGATCTGGTGATTGTGGACATTTGAGTACGTGTGTGGTTTTGCGGCAAGTGTGGTGTTGACACAATGCTCAATTGGTACTAATGGGCCTAAAGTGTGCCAAGAAAATATCCCCCACACCATTACACCACCACTACCAGCTTGAACCATTCATCCAAGGCAGTATGGATCCATGCATTGTTGACACTAAATTCTTACCCTACCATCCGAATGTCGCAGCTAAAATCGAGACTCATCAGACCCCTCAATGTTTGTCCAATCTTCTATTGTCCAATTTTGGTGAGCCTGTGTGAATTGTAGCCTCAGTTTCCTGTTCTTAGCTGACAGGAGTGGGCGAGTGGCACCCAGTGTGGTCTTCTGCTGCTGTAGCCCATCCGCCTCAAGGTTGGACGTGTTGTGCGTTTCGAGATGCTCTTCTGCATACCATGGTTGTAACGAGTTGTTATTTGAGTTACTGTTGCTTTTCTATCTCCTGGAACCAGTTTGGCCATTCTCCTCTGACCTCAGGCATCAACAAGGCATTTGCGCCCACAGAACTATTATCTTGTTTTCAGTCCATTCTCTGTAACACCTAAAGTTGGTTGTGCATGAAAATCTCAGTAGATTAGCAGTTTCTGAAACACTCTGACCAGCAAATCTGGCACCAACAACCATATATATATATATATATATATATATATATATATATATATATATATATATATATATACATATATAGTTTTTGGTAAAATATCTTGGGTATCTTGGAAAGCGAAAAAAAATATTGTTCTTTAATTTACATATTGGTTATAAAAATAGTCTTTACACTCTCCATTAAGCCACTAAGATTAAAGGTTGTGATGATATTCAAATGGATATAATATTTTTTACTTGTGGAACCTGACTAAAATATTTGAGGAAGCATGTTTAAATATCACTTTGCATTACTACTTATTGTATAGTGTAAAATGCTCGAGAACAAGAAAAACTGTAGCAGAAAACATATTGAACTATGCATGTAGACTGTTTAATGGAATGCACATGAAGAGCTAAAGTATTCTGCATATAATAGACCTTCTCCTGTGGAATGTACTGTATTTATTAGTGGTTTTACCTACAGTATAGTGTAGATTACTCAGGTTAGCAGAATGGAACTGAAGTTGTTCCATCTCTTTTAATCTGAGCTAGTGTTGGTCATAAGGGAAAAGAGCATTGCTATGACAACTTGCATGAGCTCGACACCAGCTTCAGTGTGTGGACAGGAAACTCATTGCCTGTATTTGAGATTGCCATATTGCCTGCCATTATTGCTATGCGCTGCTTCATCGTCACAGTGTGGCTGTGGGCTTCCACACTTCATCATGGATTAGTCACACACACACACACACAAACACACACACACACACACACACACACACACACACACACACACACACACACACACACACACACACACACACACACACACACACACACACACACACAAACACACACGTACACATACACACACACACATCAAGGTGTCGGCTGGGTTATACACTACTTAAAGAGATAGCCAAACACTACAGAAGATGATTGAACAACATTGACCTATGAATATTGTTGGGTTTCAGCAACCAGCTTTCTCCAAAATATCTTCTTTTGTTCAACAGAAGGTTTAAAACCACACAATTAACAGTAAATGATAAGTTTTTCAACAAAACACACATTGTGAACGAGTAATTCAAAATAAAGTTTCAAAGATGTGAAAGATTGTGATCGTTTTTATAAAACATAGAAAAATTGAAAACATTTTCAATTTCATTTTTTAATTCATCTTAATTTGTATAGTGCTTTTACAATGTAGATTGTGTCAAAGCAGCTTCAAATAGAAGTTCTAGTGAATTGAAACTGTGTCAATCCAGTTGTCAGAGTTGAAGTTCAGTTTAGTTCAGTTCAGTGTGATTTCATTTTCCAAGTCCAAACACTGAAGAGCAAATCCATTGAAGCACAGCTCCACAATTCTCAAACCAAGCAAGCCAGTGGCGACAAACTAAATTTTAACAATTGACAAAAGTAAAGGACAAAAACCTTGAGACTGGTGTGCAGCATGTGGAGAAAAGTAAAACACCACATTAATGGGAATAGAACACAGCCAGGAACTATTTCTAACTACAGCTCTGGAGGTGTAGTTGCAAGCATAGAAGTTTGCGACGCAGTTTGCGAATGTTCGTTGGAATGATAGATTTGGGATATGCAAAATCAACAAAATATGTTTGTAATGACACAACTTGCGACCTTAGTTGGCTAACGATGGTTTTTGAAAACGCACCCCTGATTGGGCAAGTTTTATTGAGCTCCACAACTCAGTTGCTGTTTTTGTTAGATAATGCAGTACTGACGGTGTATTTAAAATTTATAACAGCTTTATTGGCGTGACAAATGTTACAAATTTATTGCCAAAGCAATTATCTAGTTTAAAAAGAACATATATAAAACACAGTAAACACAGTAAAAAGTAGTAGTGGCTATATATCTATACAGTTGAAGTAAGAATTATTAGCCCCCTTATGATATTTATTTTTAAATATTTCCCAAATAATGTTGAACAGAGCAAGGAAATATTCACTGTATGTCTGGTATAATTTTTTTTTCTGGAGAAAGTCTTATATGTTTTATTTCAGCTTGAATAAAAGTAGTTATTAATTTTTTAAAAAAAAACATTTTAAGGTCAAAATTATCTGCCCCTTTAAGCTATTTTTTCGATAATCTACAGAACAAACCATCGTTATACAATAACTTGCCTAATTACCCTAACCTGCCTAGTTAAGCCTTTAAATGGCACATTAAGTTGTATAGAAGTTGCTTGAAAAATATCTAGTAAACTATTATTTACGTAATGATTTAATAAATCAGTTATTAGAAATTAGTTAGTAAAACTAAAATGTTTAGAAATGTGTTGAAATGTGTTTCTGTTAAACAAAAGTTGAGGGAAAAATAAACAGGGGGGCTAATAATTCTGACTGCAACTGAATATATTTCCTAATGTAATTATATCTCAATTTTTGTTTTGTAATTATCATCTTTAAAGACAATTTTCTCAATATTTGCATTTTTTGGGACCCTCAGATTCCAGATTTTCAAATAGATCTTGGACAAATATTGACTTATCGTGACAAAATATGCTGAACTGAAGAATTTATTTATTCCAATTTTAGGTGATGTATTAATCTCAATTTCAAAACTGTGAGACTCGTGACTCGTGTCGTGTTCCAGGGTCTTTCTCTCTCTCTCTCACTCACACACACACACACACACACACACACACACACACACACACACACACACACACACACACACACACACACACACACACACACACACACACACACACACACACACACACACACACACACACACACACAATCCTAATGACAGACAGTGGGATACGCCATTAGTAACATGCACAAAAAATGCTATTTGATTGGCTGTGTTTTCCACTTCAGAGGAGTGTTGGTGTTTAATTTTAGATCTCATCTCTTCGCACTCGCAACTTTCTTTAAATAATTCTGTACTCGTCATACTGTGGACAGCGTCAATGCCTGTGTTCATTTTTTGAAAGTCTTGGGCAAAACCTCCTTGAAACATTCTTTGTTTTCTTGCTCAACAACAGCTTTTCTCCTTGCTGGAGCTGCGGATGAATAAAAGACATCAGAGGAACTGCTTTTGCCTTTATTTCCCAGCAAAGAATGAACACTTTATTCTGACATTCATGAATATCATCGTGTTCTGCCCACGAATGCTCGCTCTATCTATCTATCTATCTATCTATCTATCTATCTATCTATCTATCTATCTATCTATCTATCTATCTATCTATCTATCTATCTATCTATCTATCTATCTATCTATCTATCTATCTATCATCTATCTATCTATCTATCTATCTATCTATCTATCTATCTATCTATCTATCTATCTATCTATCTGTCTGTCTGTCTTTCTGTCTGTCTTTCTTTCTGTCTGTCTGTCTGTCCATCTGTCCTTGCAAGGCAGATTAGAGACATCAACCTTGAGCTATTGAAAATGCAGTTTCTATAGAAAGCAGAAACATGGGAACATGTTCATAACATCCTAACAATCAGTTCCAAATATCTGTTGACCTCAGCAGCATACAGTATTTCTACACTGTCCTTAGGTGTCCCCCTTGTGTTAAAGCTGCAGACTATACACATCTTCTGCCATTTTGAGCAAAATTTCAATCAAAGGGAGAGAACAGGTTTGGTTCGAAGGGAACTGTGAACAGTACAGAAAACA